ACCCTGACCATTAAAAATTAGCAGACGCACTTGGAAGCGTTGTTCACGGCATTGGACTGCAGCGAAAAATGATTCCCCCATCATTAATGGAACAGGCCCACGTCACGCTTGGCTGACTAGTTTCTACTTACATTTCGCATGTCTTGTGTTGTAAAATGTATTTCAAACCAATCATGCTTGGCTGGTTTTGATTTACGTTTTGAAACAGAATTTGGAGAGGGCGTTTGATCAAGTCATGTTCAAGTATGTTTTGAAAAATTAGAACTTCATTTTGAGAAACTAAATCTACATTTTGAGAAATTTACGCCTACGTTTTGATAAATTGGACATTGAATTTTGCAATTACATTTTGACTTTTGCTGTGTATGGCACTCCATATTACTAACACCAAAAGAACATAAAACCCAATGTCACCTCAGTTAAACATAAACATACCATGCTCATGCTGTGTGCAGTCTTTATAGAGGCTGATGTGTTTGTAATATATAGCACTATAGACCTACAGTAGTAATATGTTATTTTCAACATTAATTTTACCGATGATGAGGTGGTGTACGGTGGTTCATGAGACTCACTTTGCTAAACAAATACATACACTTTCTGTATCTACTCAAATGTTAGTTTTGTGCACCTTAGTCCAACATTGTCAAAATGACAGTTTAATGTTATTTAAGAATGTGTATCTTTAAAATTAACAATTGAAAATTTTCATTTGTTCCATTTTTTTCATTTTGTTCATCAATTTCCACAAATCAAATGGTATATATAGAAGTACTTCACTGGCTCCTTGTGAAAAGAAATCTGATTTAACAAAACAGTGCCTAAAATTGATAACTTTTTTGCATACATTTTTATTTAAAAAATCCACAATACAAATAAAAAATTAAATTCTTTTCACAAGAAAAACATTCTTTCAATAAATATTGACTGTACATGAAATATATAGTGAGATATGAACTGAAAGCTACAGTGTGAAATTGTTTTGTTACTTTTAATAATTCTGTAATAATGTTTTATATATTTTCTTTTCCCCAGATTTGTTCATGGAACGTAAGTTATTTTAACTTTAATATTCTTTTAATTGCATGTAATGTTTATGTTGCTGTCAAAATTAGGAGTTTGATGACACAAATGACATTAGAAAAATAATCCACATGAAAATCATCATCAACATTATCATCATTTTTAAAGTCCATTATTAGTCTATGCAAACATGGGTTGGAAAAAATGACATTAATCAGAAATAATGGAAAGAAGAGAAGTAGCCTACTGTAACTGTAATTCACATCCACACGTTACCTTGGCAAATTAGTCAACGTCAAAAATAACGTGTTGACTGGTAGATTGTGAAAATAGTAACGCACATTATTGTTATTTTACACTATCTGGTGCTGTACCATTTTAACTTTGAAGTAAATAAACAAACAATGGTGCAGTATGAGTAAGCATAAAATAAGATAAGATAACTTTATTGTTCCACAAGGGAAATTCTTCTGCTCGTCATCACATAATATATTAAAAAATGTAAAACAAATATCAAAACATACAAAACAGTCACTATAGAAAAAATAACAATTTACAAGTAAAATACAATGACTACCATCGATAAAATAATTGAATTACAATTATGATTATTTTTATTATTATTTTTTTTATTATTATTATTATTATGATTATTATTATAGTGAGACTACCATGAAATAGAAATACATAGTCAATAATTTAGATATCATACATACAGTACACTCTGAAATGTATTTACAGTATTGAACATGGTTAATTTATATTATACTGCTGACACTATAATAGAATAGATCTATGTCATTGCCATTTTGATAGCGCAATCCAGGAGTGAAGATATTGTGCCTTAAAGCGATCGACTGTTTGGTCCATTTTAAGTTTTGAACCTCGAAATCAGTGGATTCAAAGTGTCATGAATGAATCTAATCTCAATTCAACCATTGTACTTCAAAGATCACTTTTGATAAGGCCCCCTGAGCTAAAATTATGCTAACATTCTGCCGTTGATACAGGTAACGTACAGGCAATGGTATTTCATATAAAGAGATTTTGGAAATCATTTAAAGTCTGATTCGATTTTGAATTATGAAAAGTGTAGGCTGTGGCACAGAGACCTGACGATTAGTGCCCAAAATTGTTTACAAAAACGTAATGCAATAATAGCATATAGACTACTATTGTATATTTTCAGAAATATTTCAGCCGCTCCAAATCTCTTTCCTATTGTTCCGTCTTCCTATATTCTTTCACAATTTTACGTTTTATTCATATTTTTCATAATGTTATACATTCACATGATGTAGCCTAATCACTTGTTTAGGTCTAGGCTAGACCTTGGCTATGCCTATTACTATATTATTTAAAATATACAATTTTAATGAAAAAGATTAATTTTACATTTACATAGTAATTCATACTTAACAAATACATTAAATTTGAATGTAAATATAATGGCGTTAATAAATAAATAACAATAATTTAAACGTGTACATAGTATCACTACTACAATAATAAGATTACAGCCCCATTCCCAGCAAAAATTTCATTTTTTAAGAAAAATCAAATTTTTGTATAATATCATAAAGATTTATAAATATAATACGGAATTGTTAGTTTAACTGAATTTAGACATTTCTAAGCATGAAAAAAATGTAAAATAAGACTGAAATTTAATTTTTGTGTTCCACACAAAAAATATATGCCGATGAATTTTTCATATTTGATTTTGCGATAGGCCCTACGAGGAAATATAGTAGGTGCCGAAAACATTAGCCTATCGAACACTGCTAGACTAGGTCTAACCTTACCTCGATTTAAGTTCTGTTATCACACATAAAAACAGCAGACATGATATTTTTCCGTTGCTATTATTGACACTTGTATTACATTCCTTAACCACAGTCTTCTATATAAACATGAATTTTTTGAGTGGATTGCTGTAGTCTATTGGAAAAGCAAAGTTTTTCCAATGTGTGGCCTACTTTGGTATCTAGGATAATAAGTCATATTCAGACCCCTATCGCATCATACTCTCAGCTACATATAATTTCCGCATGGCTGGTTTTCAACATCAACCAATCACGTATTCAGTGAGTCAATGTGGAAGTCAAAGCATACCCTACAACACTTAAATTTGCTATTGTGACAACCGTGTGGTGGCGTCTTGAAATGGAAGGGAGCTGATGTGGTGGAAATCTGAAGTTGGGATCGGTGATTAGGTGAGGGGGATAACTCGCAAAATAATGTGATTTGAGGTGATTTTTAACTACTTGAGCATGATTTGTGGGCGGTCAATGTGTGAGTATTTTTATCGGTTATCGAGGAGGGGCGTGCACGCACTCACACATTCTAGATATGGCAATACATAGCATACCCTGCAATTTACCCTACGGTCTGCCACTGGTCTATACCACCTCCCCCCACCAAAGCATATATTCTGTATTCTTTTGATGTTGAATGTTAAAAATTATGGATGGCCTATGATGGGATTAATTGATCATTATGTAATTACCTTTTCAATGACCCCTGGCACGGCAGTGTTAGAGGATGCGTTACGTCAGCCATCTTGAATTCAGCAAGGTGGACAAACTATGCCAAACCCATTGGGATGTAGGAATGGCATTCCCAGACTATAAATGCTGTACATTTGGCTTCTTCTCTAGGGGGTCCTGTTCCCCCGAAGGAACGCTGGCGCAGCATGAGGAGTGCATGCCTATCAAAAAAAGAAACTTCAGCCCCTCCCCTCCATTAGAAATGTTCAAAGCAAACAAGTAGTTATAAATATTAACTCGCCTTTGCTTATTTTTCAAACTGGCACCCCCACCGCCGCTTATTCATTGAGCCCCCTCATCATTTTAGCAACCTCATCAGCCTCCCCATCAGCCTCCCACATTTCATATCTCCTTGATACACCGCCACAAAGGGGCCCCTGGATGCCTGTTGTTGCCACCAAACTTCCAGACCAGCAATGTACAAAACTAACACTAAAGCATTAGACGAATACAGGTTGATTATGATAGTAAAATTGATTTCAAAGATATCAAAGTTTTATAGTTAATGTCTGACAGTGGTATAACCAGACGGATACAGTAGTCTTAATATGTTAAAAACGTTGTTCAGAGAATGATAGCCAAATGAAAATATATCATCCATAACGAGTCTGTTAGATTTTTTGAATACTTTGGTATACAATTATATCATCTGAGTTAAAGAAATATTTCTCTCTTATATGATGCAAGATAACTGAACAATTTGATCTTCAAGTTCATAATAAAAAATATCAGACAATTTTTCTTGATGTTAAAAAAACATTACAAAATTCACAATTCACAGACAGAAGTTAATGAAATTTGCATTGCAACAGACTCCAAACAGTGTGAGGAAATTTTATAGAATGATTATTAGATATCCCAACAGCTTGAGTATGATCGCTGATCTACAACTCAGAGATAATCAGTGCAAAAAATATGAAAAATTAACGCATGAGAAAGTTTCTATTTTCCAAGTTTCCTGATGTAGTAAACTGTAATAGGCATGTCATAATAGTAATATATAAAATAATATTATGTAATATCTAGTGACGATAAGCAATTTTTTAAATTCTCATACTGTATTGTTAATGTGTTCTGTTTAATCATTATCTTGATTTTTTCAATACGTAATTAATCATGTGCTATGCTTTTCTTTCCAAACAAATTAACATTTTATCATTTAATTAATAACCAATTTTCTGTATAATAGAGAATTGCTAAGCAACATTATACCTTTTTTCTCTGTGTTAGGTGTTCCAGAAGAAGTGCTAGCTAGAGGTGAAGAAGCTCTACAGGTTTTTAACAAAGAGTTAGAAAAAGGAAAAATAACAGTTAACCATGCGCGATTAATGTTCACGGGCAAAGAGGGAGTTGGGAAATCCTGTTTAGTAAACTCTCTCCTTGGAAAACCGTAAGTTTTAGTTGGCATAGCCAACTAGTACATATCCTTTACATTAGTTAAAAACATCTATTTCTTATTTGTGGCATACATACCAAAACCCTTACACCCATGTGCATATTGTGCATGTTATTGAATTAGTCACCTGTTAGATACCAAAAAGATAACTGTATATTTTTCCTATGTGTATTTCAAATTATACAATACTTGTTCTAACTGAAGACACTATGATTACGATTTGGATGTTCTACCAACTGATCCAAACTGAAAAATAAGGAGTGCTACAGTAAAACGTTTTAGGTGAACAATGCAAAAAAAATGAAATCAAATTTAAAATAAAGCTAGATAAAAAAAAAATAAAAAAATTCAGTTAACATTGCTGATAGCTTATTGGGCTGGATGCAGTTTAATAGCATCTTTACCAAGACAATCTGAGCTACTGCTGCTACTGCTACTTACTACTTACTACTGTTGCTGCAGTTAGTTTCATTATTGTTCCTTTTCCGTTATTCAACACTGTTTCTAAAATTATTTGATTATACTTATTGCTATGCAGCAACATTGATTCCGTATACCTATTATACTACCAGCTGCGACCTCTAGAGTACACTTTACATCAGCCCCGCTTTTTGAGGGTGTATATCAGGGGTGGCGCCCCTCAGGACCACTTTTCAAACCTTTTAATCGAAGCTCGACCACGCCCACTTTGCTTTCGTCGGGAAAATCTGACCCCCCTGTCGGGGACCTCGGCCCTCCTGTCGGGCAAATCCTGGCACCACCCCTGGCGTATATTAGTTGTTTGAGAAACTGCCGTTGGTTAGATTATACTTGCGATATACCACTCAACTGTAGTATTCTGGTGGTATGAGATTGTGGGTTCAATTCCTGCTGGTGAGATGTGTTCATACAATTGATTGGGAACTTTTTCGTTGATAGACTATGCCTGATGCAATCTTTACATCATTGTTCTTTTATTTGAGTACTATTTCTGCCAACTTGATTTGTATTTTTTAGAAGATGGCTAGTATTTATAATAATATCTCTCAGCTATGGCATTTTAATATGTTGATCTTGTTTTTCTGATCTTCATCACAAGACTCCACCATTATATAGATTATCTTTACCACATACTTGATTAACTTGGAACATAGGAACTAACAGTATACGGTCACTGATATTATCATATAAATATTCACTATTAAGTGTACTTGTCAAGTTATTCTAATATATACTTTTGATTATTCTAAAATATACTTTTGATTTTCTGATTATTGCTTCAAGTATCACTATGTTGGATTGCCTTTTCTACAGATTTAATGAGGACGAACCATCGACCAGTGGGATAGAAGTATTGACAACAATAGCTTTTGGTTGTAATAAATGGAAGGAAGCGACGGAGGACATTGATGGTACAGCATGAAATAATCTAACATTTTAATTACGATTCTATTATTTTGGCGTGGGTTTATGAACAATAAATTAACCGAAAGTAGCAAAACCTTTTTGTATAGGTAATTCCCATAAAAAATAATTTATGACAATATAGCTCAAAGATTAAGACTAAGTATGGTTAGTGGCCACCCCCTTCTGCTCAGCCCAGTAAATACTCCCAAATCACTTAGTTTACAGATGTTCTGGTTGGTTCTTTCAGATTGTAATCGATGCAAATTAGTATATTAACATCATAATTTATGTATCACAATTTTACAGATTGTGAACGGACAAAGCAGATATTAGAAAGTACAGTAGAAGGTAAAGTTGCAGAGAAGTTAATGCAGATGAACAGACAAACAGAGGCTCTTGAACAGGCAGCGTCAACATCTACTGTAAGTTACTACACCTCCAGGATGTGAGGCCTTCTGAAGGCTTCACAGACCCCGAATGCCCCTTATGAGGTCCCAGCAGCTGCGTAGACCCAAGGCCGGATGGGATGTGAGGCCTTCTGAAGGCTTCACAGACCCCGAATGCCCCTTATGAGGTCCCAGCAGCTGCGTAGACCCAAGGCCGGATGTGAGGCCTTCTGAAGGCTTCACAGACCCCGAATGCCCCTTATTGAGGTCCCAGCAGCTGCGTAGACCCAAGGTCACTGTCGGTGGCCTAGAGTATAAACATTCAACTTGAAAGATGGCGGGTTCAGTATCTACCAAACGTATATTAATAGATGCAATTCTCTGAAATTCCAAAAGATGGAGAATCGTTTTATTTGATTAGGCATCACTACTCTACCAAAAGGCTCTCAACAGATGTGGATACACCCATTAGTTGAAATTGTTACTACTGCAACAAACATAGAATACCACCAAACACAAAAAATTCTTAACCAAAAACATAATTTAGTACTTCCCCTCCCCCAACCATTCAGCATGAATGTATCTAAAAGCTAAATATTTTTAGCTTCTTTCATGTTGAATGTAACTAAAAATGTTAGAAAGGTTTTACCAACAATTTTTAGCTACATTCATGCTGAATGTAGCTAAAAATGTTGGTAAAACCTTTCTAAAAACATTATATAACAAATTCCCACAGGACCATATATTGCACAAACTATTCAATCGCAATACATTAAAAATCAGTTACAGTTGCATCTGTAACCTTAAGCAGAAAGTTGATGGACACAACAAAACAACTTGGACAAAAAAAACTGAACAGCCTAAGAACAGAAAATACTGTTGCAGAAAACCATAGGATGCACAGCTATACCTGGCCGTTTTCCCAAATATATGTATGTTCAGACCAAACGTATGTTAGAACTTGCGTAAAACACATTCAAAACCAGGTATAACCACACACCTTATTTTAAAACCCAACCTAGAAATTCAACACCAAACTAAGTAAATATATATGTTATCTAAAAGGCAATAATGTATACTACACAATTACTGTAAATGGAAATTTTCTCATGCAGCCAAAGCATGTAACCCAAGCATGTAACCCAGCATCTAAATGATGTGAGTTATGTGTCTGGGGGAAGTCCTCCATGACCAAGTAGAATGACCTCATCACAATTTGTAGACATGCAAACATGTTTCTCCTAAAAAAACTTTGTATATTAATAACACTGCCAATACAATGTAATATAAAACTATAGTGCAATGTTAATATAAAACTATAGTGCAATTAATGAAATTGCTCTAAAACTGATATTGTTATTATTTACTTGTTAATTCTTAATTATTACTGATTGATATATTGATGCCTGGTATTGCTGCTTTTATTCTTTACATGCCTAGTTTTATCACGGACCTATTAATCAATCTGTGTTAATCTATCTTAGTCATTAGGCGGTCTGACGAGTGCTGCACGATGTATGTGTGACACTAAACTATATCGTAATAAAATGTCTAATCAAATCCTCTTTTGAAACAGTTTCATTTGCATTTTATATATCAAATATATGCTAATCAAAGTAGTAGTTTTGCCTTTCTTAGCTCTGATTGCTCTAAATACAACACCAATTTCCTTTCTACAAATATTTAAAGTAATTCATATCTTTTTTTTTACAGACAGAGCATGATGTTGCTGGAACAAAACCTAAAAGAGGTTGTTATTGAATGATTATTTGAAAATAGATTGATTTTTTTTTTTCAGATTTTTATCTTTGATATGTTTATATATTGGGATACAAAACATATAATTAGGTATTGTTAGATATATTATTTTATAGTGCGAAATTTACGATAATATTAACTTATTCAAAAATATACTCTTATATATTTCATATTTTTCCTCATTCATGTTTGTTTATAATAACTACAGTTTAAATCTCTTCCTTATAATTCTAATAAGGCCTAAAAAAATAATGTTGGCATAACCCAACCGGCCCTAGACATTTTTATTTAAATTTCTGGATAAAGTTTATATGAGCAAAGTGAGCATGGTTGGGCATTATTCAAAATGTTTCAAAAGTGGTCCTAGGTGAAAAATATGGCAATTAGGGGCTTTAATGGATTATTTAAGTGATTTTATAGGTTTTGTTGAATATTACAATTTTTTAGGTCTAATGCTGGCATCATACCTTTCTTAGTAAGAACAATTATTTTCAACCTAATAATCTACTAATTTTTTGTAATGTACAATCATCTAGTTATAAAACTTTGGTATTATAGAAAATATAATCAATGTTCTTACATTATGGTAATTTAACAGGTCAAAAGAAGAAGAAAGATGTCAGTAAAATAAGCCAAGCACTTCCACCTGAAACTCTAAAAAGAATTGAGCACAGAATGAGGGGAGAAAACCCACAGCATAGTAATGAAGATATTACTTTCATTTGGGATTTTGCTGGCCAGCAGCTTTATTACATTACACATCGAGTAAGTAAACAAGAAATTGTATTTGATTTCAGTAAATGATCCCTCTATTTTGCTGCACTGCTTTTTTAACCAAGTCTTTTGGTGGGATGAGATTTTAAAAAAGAATTACAGAATATAAGCATACCAAATGAAATTTAATAATAGATTGTCATTAAAAAGTGTTTCTATTATTACTGTTATCAAATTATATTTTTCTCTTAGATCTTCCTAACAAGCGAGGCCGTGTATGTGATTTTGTTCAATTTGATTGAAGGTATGCACAACAAGGGAAAGCGTAGATTCTGTAAAATGGTAAATTTAACTTTTTTATAATTTCCCTATAATAAGTACTTAACACATTTTATATACAGTCAGTCCTGTGAATAAAGTCAAATATAAATTGGCATCAACATGTTGGACATAGACAAAGTTTGAATAATACAAAGTAATTTTTTATTTAAGTATAACAAAATCTGTTCATCTCAGCTACAAACATTGCAAGAGCCCTTTGTGTTTGTTGATATTCTATTCTTTATTTAGAAACGACATTTTACAACAGTGGCAATTATACGTAAAAGAGTGTCCAATGAAAAACAAAACTTAAAGTAAATAAAAACTTAACAAATTAAATTAAAAAAAAGAACTTAACAGAGAGAACTAAACTTGAAAAAAAAAAACATGTTTTAAGCCACCTGACCTTCAACCTCAGCCTGAGACTCAAACCCACCAGTTTGCTAAGCTTTGATAAATGTTCTAAATAGGCCTGTAAAACTGAACCTGATAAAACTTATATTAAACTGTTTTTTACTTTATTATTTTTATTGTTTATAGTATTGCTATCCACTTGCTGTACAAGTGTACAGTAAAACAAATTATATAAATATGAGAGCATAGACAATGCAATATTATATGGCATAGCAGAGGATAACTCATTAAGCTGGGGTGCTTATTTCAGAAAGGGTCCTCGTCAAAGAATTGTATACAACATGAAGATAATTATCAAAATATATACTCTAAGGCTTTAATAACAAAACAATAATAATAATAATAATAATAACAACATAAACAACAACATAATAAAACATTATCATTATAATTTAACAAATGATTATTTGTCACATCTATTTTGTATTTGTTTGTAGTATTTCTAGGGAATAACTTAAAATTCTGTGGGATTATACAAGAACTTATTTTGCTGCCTCCACTTAATGTATTGTTTTGTTACTTGGAATGTAAAATTTATAAACAAATGAAACTTAACTCAATTGAATTAAACCAATTTGGCTTATATTGACTATTATGTATTCAAATTATAGCAAATATTTGTCATTGAATGTATATAAAAACGAAGTGGCAGTATTTCACATTGTCAAATTTATGTTTTTTCCAGTGCCGTCTTTGTTATAATTGCTGTGTTTACATGTTTCTTCATTCTTTAGGCAAAGTATGTGATGACGTACGATATGACAAATATCCAGATTATCAAATATTGGATGAGGTTGATATATACATACGCTATCCCAGTTAAGGCACAACAGCAGCTACAAGCCAAAAAACCTCAAGTTGTGGTAGTTGGTACTCACAGTGATTGCCTAGAGGGCACTGAAGAAGACAAGAAAAAGCAGGTGAATATTAATTCTAAAATCAGTGCTAAAATAATTGATTGAAATTCTGAAAATTGTGTCATTTTATTTTGTTATTCAGATTGAAGAACAGTATGGAATACTATTCCAAGAGATCAGAGGCACTCCATATGAATCACATGTGGTGAGAAAAATGTACGCCATCAGTAACAAGTATGCATCACAGTGTGAGATGCTGGAAACGCTTAAACAAGATGTTGGTGGATTTCTGAAAGAAATGCCCAAAACAATCCCCCTTAAGTGGCTCAAATTCCAACAAATATTGCAGGAGAATGGTCGGACATCATTGCACATGACATATGCTAAGGTACACATTCAGTATGCATTTTCATATAGATTTTAATCCAGAAGTGACGGAACTATGGTGTGCTGTATTACGGAGAGTAACGTGTGACCTGAAATGGTCTGCAGTCAGTTGGTTGTTACCATGCGCCAGTGATGCTTGAGTATATAGTACAGCAAGATGGAACTATTATGTTGGCCTAATGCATGAATAAAGTTCAAAGTTTGTCAGGTAGTGAAATGATTATTGTATATTTTAAGTGCTCCCTAAATTTATAAGTGTAAGCTAAATTACGGTGATTAATTTAATTAGCGAAGATATGGAGACAATTATTTCGAAGTTCCCTCTTTTCAAGAGGGGATGTATATGCAGAGGTACTAATTTTCACAAAGAAATACACACCAATTGGTTAGCTAACAATATGCAAATGTTACATGAACACCGGGAAGGAAGATGCAATCACGTGGTTGCCTAGCAAACGTCTGTACTGTATGGTTGGGACTGCTGATATTCTGTGTAGCGGGGGACGATGAGGCATAATAAGACTAGGCCGAGGCCCAGGCCTAACTTGACAGTGCAATTATATGTGATAGAAAGTACACTTTTGAAAGAAATAAATTAAAATAAGAAAAAAAAAACCAAATAACTAAGAATAATTCAGTTCTAGAGTACCTTGTTTAAGTATTATACAATGCTAACAATGCAGCTCTTGTAGCCCTAGCTAGTGCAAGGCATCCATGTGCAAAGCAGTGGTGTTTGTTTATCCATGAAAAAAGCATGCAAGGAAAGTTTGTCTTAACAGGAAAAGGTTAAGTAATCTAGCTTATGACGTATGCATGCTAACTATATTGTGAGTGTGACGTCACCAAATAATGAATATTTTCTATTATAACCAAAGTATTAATAACTACGAATTAACGGTTGCACAATCTCCTTGCCATACAAATTACAGCTCCCACTGACGTCTCAGTCGAGAAATGCGGGGAGCTGAAGTTATTCTCAAAAATCTGACTACGAAACCACTTTACCCCTAGGTTGTGCTTCGCACTCGCTGAGGGCGGCTTTCCGGGAACTCTGCGTCAAGAATTTAAAACTATTTCATTTTACATACTACTGTATAGCCAACCCACTGCTTTACTACACACACCCACAAAAATATTATTGCCCATTAATTTGAACGTCAAGCTATATTCATTTGCTATTTTTTTAGGTGTGTAAAGTTGCTACTGAATGTGGAATTTCTGTGGAGAACCTCATCCACACACTCAACTACTTGCATGATCTTGGAATCATTCTGTACTTTGAGAACAACAGACTACTAAAGCATGCTGTGATAACAAACCCACGGAAGCTGATTTTCATCTTGAAGAAAATCATCACCGAAGTGGAGCCTGATGATGATGAAAAGGTGAGTGTCAGACATCATACGGTCAGTAACAATTTAAGGGGCCATCCATAATTTTCAACATTTTCTAAAGAGTACAAAATATACACATTAGGGGTGGGGGAGGTTATTCAGAGTGAACAATGACATTACTTGCTCTAGACAAAGCATAGTGTGTCCTTACAATCTACCTTGATTTGTCAGTGGCTTTTGATACCATCATACATAAGATCTTAATTGACAGGCTTTCTGGGTATTTCTGGGACAGTCCTTGATTGGTTTCAGTCTTACATCTCTTTTCTACAGTAGACAGTTCACATTAAATCCTTGATTTCTTCCGATTGTAATGTTGATTGTGGGGTCCCTCAAGGATCAACTTTAGGTCCCATTCTTTTTCTTGTGTATACCAATCTTCTGCATCATATCTTCATCAAACACCACTGTATGTACCATATGTATACTGATGACATTCTAATTTACATCTGCTGATGAGGTCATCCACACTGTTCATTCTTGGCTTGCCAAGATTTTGCTTTCATTAAATGCTAAGAAAACACAAAGCTTATAAGCCTCATATCATCACTACCACCACAACCTCATTGTTGGCAACTGTGTTATCTCACCATCCTCTAACGTTTGTAACCTTGGCGTTGTATATGATGAACGCTTGTCGGTGGCATTATACATAAAAATTATCTCTAAATCAGTCTCATTTGGTATCCAAAACCTTAAACAGATCGGGCATTTTCTTGATGACAACAGGGAAAGTTGTTCATGCTCTGATTACCTCTAAACTTGACTATTGTAATAGTGTCCTCCTTTATAGTGTCCTTTGTATAATAAATTGCTTGCATCACACTCCATTCTGGTGAATGTAAAAAGACATTTAGGTACACTACATTTATAACCTTTCATGTTCCTACCTGCTATTTGAAGACTTGTGAGAAAGGTCCTTTTCAGTTGTTGGCTTCTAGCTCTGGCATTCTCTTCCCCAAACCATTCAAGGGTCTCCTAATTTAATGATCTTTAAGCGCCATCTCATTATTCTTATTTGACAATCTCTAATTTTCCTTCACTCCCCTGTTTTGTTTTCAAGTCACTTTTGTGTTGCTTTTCTCTTCTATCACTTTTTGTTTGCTTTTCTTTTCTACCACTTTTCTGTTTCAACCATTATTTATGATTTTTTTTTTGTGTTGTTTTGGAGAATGTATACAGACAAATGTTATATGTGCTATACAAGTGCACAACCATTGGCCTTTGAAAGTGTAGGTATAAGTACTCTTATATAAAAGAATAATGATCCCATAATAACATGTTTAAACTCATCATTACTTTTCAGTGGCCTTTGATGATTGAGGATTGGAATAAACTTGAAGAGGAAGGAATCTTGGAGGAAAAGTTAGCCAGACATCTTTGGAGAGATGAGATTAGCAAAGACGAAACTTGCTTTGAGTTCTTCTTAGAAATTATGAAGCAGTTTGGACTGCTGTGCGAGCAGATCAAGGTACTGTATTGAATTCACTGAATGTGTTGCAATGACAACACAATGATTTATATATTTTTTCCCAAGTTTCATCTTAGTTTACCTTGCATATCATATATATTGCAGTATGTTTGACTATTCAAAAATGGGTATAAACATAATTGCATATGTTTTTCCCATTTTTCTTTCATGTTTATATTGTAGAATCAGGAGAGTACACATCGGTCATTTTTTGTACCCTGTCGACTGAAACGTAGCACAGACACTATGGCTATTAAGTCAGACTCAGATCAGATGGTTTCTATCTATATGGCTTCCGAGGATTTCATCCCTGATAGTATCTTCCATCCTCTAGTTGTCAGTTTGATTGGAATGGTACAAAACATGGGCTACAAAGCTAAATTAGAGTTATTTAGCAACTATGCAAACATCTGGCTAGGACATGATCACACTCTCAGCTTGGGACCGGTAGTCATTGATAACAAGCCCTCATTAAAGGTAAAATGTTATTTGATGTAATTTTTCAGTCATAATTGAAGTGATACCCGGTGAAGTTATAATATTAAATGACTGATGGATTATGATTAAATATTGTTTTTTAGAATAAAAATTATTTTAATGTACAGGTGTAATTTTTCCCTACCTGACGTGGAAATGTACCGAATACTCAGTACATTTGAAAACAACTGCGAAAAAATCGCAAGTTGTTCTCGGGTGGGACTTGAACCCACGATCTCCAGATCACTAGCCTGGCATCATACCTCTAGACCACCGAGCTGGCGCCTGATGGCCAGGGTTGAATTCGAGTCCAAGTAAGCAGTGGGTACTGCAGTGTTGATAGTAATTTTTATTGTTTTGATGGAATAATAGACAATGGAATGGAGTGGAAATGTACCGAATACTCAGTACATACTCGAATACTCAGTACATTCCATCACGACAATAACAATTACTATCAACACTGCAGTACCTGCTGCTTACTTGGACTCAAATTCAACCCTGGCCATCAGGCGCAAGCTCGGTGGTCTAGAGGTATGATGCCAGGCTAGTGATCTGGAGATCGTGGGTTCGAGTCCCACCCGAGAACAACTTGCGATTTTTTTCGCAGTTGTTTTCAAATGTACTGAGTATTCGGTACATTTCCATGTCAGGTAGGGCAAAATTACACCTATACATGTTTCTCTTGATGCAAATCCAGTTATTGTCTATTATTCCATCACGACAATAACAATTACTATCAATTATTTTAATGTTACACCTTATTTTTATTTTCAAGATTCAAGATATATTTTAATTATCATATAAAAGCAATTTTCCGGGTATTGGTTTGTTACATTGTTAAAACATATAAATATAAATATACAAGAAAAATGTCAAATTGTATTGTAATGCATAGAACTTGTGGCTACACCATTTTCTTTTTTTAAAATTCAGTAACATAATTAATTAATTTTTCATAATTAATTAATTTTTCAATTATCAAATTGCCATTACTAACATCAGCTTCACTCCCTCTGTATATTAAAACATAGTTTATGCAGCATATGTGAGCTGCCTGACAAAAGGAGTGTTGTAAAAAAAAAATTAAATACTGATGTATTTAAATAGATTTCTATATAAGTATTAATTTATAGATTCTGTATTTTAATTTTAGCTGGAAATATTACGAATGTCTGTTGTTCATGAGGATGGTACAACTACGTCAACAGGGGAACCAACTTCAAGAGTTTGTATGCAGGTAATATCTTTTGACAATTAAATCTTGAAACTGTATTATGAACTGTAAAATTACACAAAGTCATTATTTCAGTATTTATTGGCCAACACATCTACGTGGTGCGTCATACATAATACAATATAATAAAGTAACAATTTTACATACAAAGAAAGGAATTAAAATGAATTTTTTTAAAATTAACAAATATTGATTGGAAAGGGAACAAAATTACAGTAAGTATTACAGAAGGGTCAAAATAAGACAAACAGTAAGTAATGATATGTTTAATCATCACTACAAATAAGCATTTATTATTTGGTTATAATGCCCCTTTCCCACATTCACGATTTTTGCTACGACAGAGCACGATTTTTCAATTTTGAAAAATCACAATGGTGTCGTCGTAAATGTTGTGGTAAAAATAATTCATCGTATTGCATCGTACTGAATCTTGATGTCATCGTGATGGAGCACGATTTTTTTGGAATGTTAAAAAAAATCGTGCCCAATCATAGCCGTGAAAAAGATCTTGGTCTACCGCAGCGGCATCGTGTGTGTGGTGTAACGTTGTTGTCGTTTGTCGTGACTGTGTCTTGTCCATTCGTACTACCAACAACACATACGACAATCAAAGACATCGCTGCGGTGCTGAGATGATTAGATACGATGCCACCAGGATACTATCAAAACCGTGGTTTATATCACGTGGCTCTGTGTCAGAAAAGTTTTTCAACACACTGAACAATTCCTTGCTCACTTGGAGGAAGTTTCTGAAGCCTCTTGGGTCTTCTCTATTTAACTCTACTAGTAAGTGTTCATACTGTCTAAAATATGGACGACGTAAGAGCCATGGCTGTACCCATACACTTCGTTTAGGCCTATGCATTCGACGTGACCGATGCTTTCTCTTGATTATCAAAACTGTAGCAGCCAACAAATTTTCTTCTTCTATAGCAGCAGCTTGCAAATAATATTGATGATGTTTGAACACCTTTTTGTTATGTCATGTGATGTTTGTTTTTGTGATGTACGTCTTGTTAAATCTTGCTAACGTCGTACTTGCGTCTTTGTAAAATCGTAGTGACGTCGAATTAAAATTTTAGTAATTTGTAGTACGTCATCATAATTCGTAAAAATGCCGTCGCACTATCACATTAGTGCCGTAATACATCTTGACGGCGTCCTAGTAGCGTCTTGATTAAACGTAAATCTTAAACTTGTTGAGTACGAATCACTACGATATAGCGCGATTTTAAAACTTCTTAAAATCGTGCTCCATCGTAGCAAAAATCGTGAATGTGGGAAAGGGGCATAATGTAAAGGTAGGAGAATAATCTTTAACTTGCAGCATCAATGTGCTGAATTGCATATGGGAGTGGTTTGTGACTACCAAGCCGTCGGAAAGAGGTGCTTATAATAGCTATATATTTACACCATTTCACAGACAGGGCTAAAATTAACCGTAGCAATGGGGTAAATTAACCCCCTACTCTTCCGAGTGATGAACTGGGTTCTTTAAAGTGCACGCGACCCAGATGGTGCACACTGGACCTCCATTTTAAGTCCTTATTCAAGAAAACTTATACCAACCGAACTTACTTACGATATACATATACCTGTACATATTATAGTGGGCCTTCAGATATTAGATATATTATTATAGTATTAATTATAATAATTTAATTGTAAGCTACGCCTAATGGATCACAGACTCATTTAGGCACTTTACATAAGTCTTAAACTATCGTGGGAGGTATTTCTAAGTCTAGGTTTACAGTAATGTACAAGGTTGAGTTAAACTACATTCACTTAACTACAATTTGGTAAACAATTAACCCCCACCAGACACCAACCTGGTATTTTTGAGTCAAGGTTTCGGGACTGGGATTACATTTTACATTTTGCAATGCAATAGAAAAGTTGAAAATATAGTATAATTAACATATTGTGTAATATTATAGATTGTTTGTCTCAAAGCGCCTGTGCGCATTAGTAAATTTATGCACGTTGTTCTTGCATAAAAAAGGTAGAAACATATTTTTAAAAAAAAAAATAGAATTGTAACTGGGACGGATGGAGGATTTGGCGATTGGAATTTATGAGTGTCCACATCACCTCAGCCCACCTTTGTTTGGGCTCAGGTTTGAAAATATGGACCTTTGGGTGGCCAGAAGTTGCTCTCTCATTCTTTTAAAATCTTACCATTACAATGTTCATAATGATAAAAGTAATGTAACAATACAATAAAGTAATTTTTTTCGTAATACAATTTAGGGGGGTGCGATCGCACCATTTACACCCCCTCTGCATCCGCCCAAGTGTAACCTCATTTAGTCTACTAACGGACCTTTTAAAACGCTTTACGGTATATTTTAGGTCTCAAAGATATTTAATCAAAGGGTGGTGAAATTATCACATACCACAATGAAGCAAAATAATACAAATCAATCTAGTTGACCTGCTTATTGCATACTTTAGGATTTCCTTCCAGCAAATGCTAATTCTGGTTGTTGAGGGATCTTATATACAGTAAGACGACGACTTGACTGAAATACAAGTTCTATCAGTGTTATCTTATTCATGGTATTATGGTCAATTAAACCATAAAAATATTTTTTATTAAAACATATTTTTTAAAAAAAGCTTTAAAAAAAATCCCCCGCTTTCCGCATTTGATCTTTGGAAACAGGTATGATTATAAGATATGTAAATGAGAGAAAGTATATAATTATAATTAGATTAATCAATTGTGAGAATTATAAGCTTTAAATGGTTATCTAAGATTTTTTTTTAAAGATGTATTGTTTCTTAAAAGTGATAACAAATCATAAAAAAATAATTTTGCTCATTTTGCTCTAATTTATTAACTGGAGCATAGAAATTATTGAATTTCAAAAATTTGATTTTTAAACTTCATAAAACACAATAAGTTTTCACTGTAAATATATGGTTAATTTTTTTTTTCTATTCTCTACAGTATGTTCAAGTTAATCATTTTTATGTTACTCCAAAATTGGCAAGTTAATTTCAAAAATAATTTTCATGATTCTTTTAGTATTTTTCATGGGACAATATAATTTTAAGTGTGTTTTTATAAATGTTTGTACTGTTTTTCCTTTTTATTTTAAATAAATTGTTACAATTTTCATTAAGGTGTTAGAGTTTCTGAAGCAAGAGATGAAAGTGTTGACAATTGGAATGAAGCACACAGGATATGCATTCCGTGTCCTGTGCTGGCAAGACTCGAAAAAAACTCACTTCCACAATTTGGACGAGTGTCTGGAAAAAGATTCTATCCCATGCGGAAAGAAATTGATAACGACAGTCAAACTACAAAGGATGTTCAGGAATAAGAAAATACTAACAGAAAACCCATCCTTACCAGGTATCGTTGTGGAAATGGACATGATAGCACTTAAAGAATATTAAGAGACCTAACCCATGATTTGTCTTGAAACTAATCAGAAACAATTGCTAATAATATTAACATTTGATTATTAATATTTCTCCAAAATATGTCTTGTAGGTTTTCATGACATTTAAAAGTGGGAAAAAATTAAACTTCCAGTATACACCAAAAATGCGCAAAGTAGGAGTAATACTGGTATTATCATTGTAAAACTGTTTTATTTCTGCCTAAGATAGTTAGGGACATCCTGGGTATGATATTAAACTCCATCCTGTTGAAGCATCAGTGACTAAACTGACAACCCTCTCAGATGTGTCTTAGTGGCTGCTGAGGGGAGGGTGTTTATGGTCACCCAGCAGCAAGAAAAACCAATAGCTGAACAAAGGGCGGATGAGCTCCTCGGAGTCAACTGCCAACCATTAATTAGTTTAAGGAATAGGAGTAGTTTAGTCTCATTGTGATTATTGTTATTATAATTATTATTTTTATTTTATTTTATTATTATTTTATTGTTATTTGAATTTTCTCTGTAGCCTTATGTTATTTCTTTGTAAAGTGCATAGGGGCAATGTGCAATATGTGCTATATAAATATAACATTATTATTATTATTATTATTATATTATTATTATTATTATTATTATTATTATTATTATTATTATTGTTATTATTATTATA